GGCCAAGTAGAGAGGAAGGATGACATCCTCAGCCTTGCTTGAGATGCCTCTACAGATGCATGCCAGTGTTTGATTAGCTCTGCTAGGTATGGCATCGCATTGGCAGCTCATGTTCATTTTCTTGTCTATCATGACACCCAGGTTTCATTCAGATGTGGTGCTGGCAAGCATAGCACTGCTGAGTGTGTAAGTGTATTGTGGATTAGTTCTTCCCAGATGGAGCACTTTACATTTCTCTGTATTAAACGACATCAGGTTGAGGTCCGCCCGCCTCACGAGCCTGTGCAGGTTGGCCTGTATTGCCAGTCTGTCTTTGAGTGTGACCACGCCCCACCATAGTTTGCTGTTGTCACCGAACTTTGCTAGTTTGCTTTAAATACCCAAATCCAAATCGTTGATGAACATGTTAAAAAGCACTGGTCCAAGTACTGAAGTATGTATATAAGTTATCTGTCTATGACATGAACTATGGATACAAGATTGACCAAGGATACCACAGATTAAGTGTGTTGATATTCCCAAACACACAGAAATGCATGGAGAGGCAAATAAACCAAGGAAATCTCCAGATGGGAGATGAGGATGAAAATGGGCCTATACAGAGATTTTTAAAACCAATAATTTTTTTGTTACAATCTTTACCCCTCACACTGCAGACAAAGGTCTAGCCTTCTTGCCTCTGCTGGCACAGTGCAGCTGGGCAGCCCAACCTGGCCCCAGGAAATCCAGTCTTTCACCAGCATACGCAGTCAGTTATTTTGGCCATCACTGTATAAAAGTGAATAGCCACTGAAAATGGCAGAGGAGGGTGTGACCTGGTATTGCCTCTCTGTTCAGAAGACTGTTCAGCATTGGCATTGGATTTAGGATATAGCTATACTATACAGCTAGCTTGAATATCAGACAGTCTTTCCATGATAGAAGGAGAGTAAATTAGCCCTACGAGGTTTGTATTACCATGACTAGCCTGGTTCCAATATACAAACCAGCTAATTTAAAACTAGCTTGGGTATCTCTACCCCATCCTTCAGGCTGCAGTATAGTAATACTCTCCATAGGCCTGCAAGATCTGCTCTGTAAGGGTCTCAGGAGGTTTCAATCTAAGTCATGCCAAAAGCAGGGCATTTATCAGGGAGCACAACTTCTTTCTGTATCCTGGTATTGTATCCTAGGGGCTGAGTTGTATGATATGGCTGTTTCTGTTTGCGGAGATGGGGGAAGGTTGTAAAAATGATTATATTTTGGTCTATGTTATGTTTCCACCCTCCAGAAACTCAAAGCAAAACTCAATAGGAACCATTCAGTTTTATCTGGTTTCCCTGCAAAACCACAGACATCCTTGGAGTTCACTCAAAATAGATTCTGCTTCCTGAAACTTGACCAAAGGACACTAAAAGGTTCGTGAAACTTAGAAACCCTGGGATAAGCACTGGGTCTGTAATAAAACCTCACAGCAAGTGAATCTTGTGCCTAATCTCTCATTTATTATAAAAACCTCACAAAACCTCTGCATTGTCCATTCATAGTATCTAACGAAATAGGTGGTAGCCTACCAAAGCTCATGCCTCTCTGAACTAGTTAGTCTATAACTTGCCACCCTGCCCTGCCTAACATTGCTAACTACTTCGCTCCACTCTGTCTTGCTAGTTAACAGAGTAATCATCTAAGAAGCAATCCATTTCCCTGGATGAGGCTACATGTACAGTTTCTAGCTGTGCAACACAATGCTGCTACTTTTCTTGGTTCTCACTTGTGCGATAGAGATCTTTCAAAATATCTGGATAGTGCTGCATATGCCTGAGTATCACTAGTTTTATTGCTTTATTTTTTGGTAAAGAAGCACTGCATGTGCCCTTCAAGGCTCACCAGTATTTCTCCTCTTTGGGACATAAAGCATTGTAATGCAATAAAAGCACTCCATCTCCCAACACCAGTGCTGCTAGACTCTTGTGGCTCAGAACTAGACACTGGGTTTGGGAACTCAATTTGGATTTGACATATAAGTCAGAATTGCATGGTTTGCTACAGGGCTGACATGCTAGAAAGATTCCCTCCCATTCTTTGTCAAAGTAATTTATAATGTCGAGTTACAGACCCCATACAGAGGTTTGTCTTACTGCTGGGAAGTTTGAGGCAGAATCTCCATTGGTAAAGGCATCAGTGACTACAGCTGAGTAAACGTCAGGTCCCTAACCATTATTCTACTAAGTACAACTGTATTGTGTGGCTGTCAAGCCCCCTGTGGGGTGAATGTTTCCAACATCAACCAAGAAACATTTGTCATGGGGATGAACATTCCTTTGGTCTCCCTGGAAACAATCTTGGAGAGGCAAAATGTTAGTTGGAGGGGCCACAGCCCCACTCCCCGCCCCAAGTCCCGCTGCTGCCTTTCACTCCTGACCCACAGTATCCCCCCCACCCGACCATGACCCACCCATCACAAGCAGCTGCACGTTCATCTTTGTCTGTCTTCCTATATAGTCAGATTGATCAGTTGCTTTATGATGAGGAATACACCACCTTCATGAACTGACTAGATCTAGTAGAGTTCAGGCCTGACTTAAAAACAAGTAGAAAGAGTCCACAGTCTGAGTATCATTAGAGGATTCAGGACCCGTAGGAATTTTTATCACATTACATTTGTCTTATTTTGGGTATGTTCATATCTAGTTGCTTGTGGCATAGAAACCCACACCAATATGAAGAGAGACCTTTCTGAACTGACATAGAAACCTCTCTCTTGGTGTATTAACAAGTGAAGAGGATATGCTACAACAGGCGGAAATATCTGCAAAAGAGAAATATTAACTTTGTCAGCCCCTTCTCTTCCTCAAGTCATGTGCTGCCATCTAGTGGAGGAAGAGAAGGGGCTGACAAAGTTAATATTGTGCCACCTAGTGGAGAACTATTTTTAAAAAGCTGCACCTTCTAGCTGGGTTGTTGCGCTGTGGCCCTGAAGGTCCAAGAAATAGAGAGGAGAGGACGAGCCCTGAGGATGGGCAGCAGTTGGCTCCCAGCTTGTCCTGAGTCTCTCCCAACTATACAGCAGGTGCCTTAAAGGATGTCAGGAAAAAACCCTTGCCTCTTGTTAAAAACAAGAGAGGTGATGAGCAGTGGGAGTCTGAAGTCAGGCAAAAGGCAGGGCAGAGATGCACCTTTACAGACTAAATAAGGTACAGAGAAAGAGAGAGAGATGGCACGCAAGCTTTCATGATGAGCCACTGTTTACTTCATCAGATACATCTGGTGTCGGGGTAGGGGGAAGTAATATGATTGGGGGAGGGAGGCAGTGATATGCCTGTGCTCTGCCCGTCACTCCCAAGCCAAACCCCGCCAAGCCCTGCCGCTGCCTTTCACTCCTCACCCACAGTATGCCCCCCCGACCATGCTGGTACTTCTTGAACCCAACCCGCAGCCTCCTGGCACTGCCTGTGCCCCGTACTCCCAACCAAAGGGCCCTCCCCATCCCATCCCCTCCCTGCCACCTTCCCGTGCTGGAGGGGCAGGCATGTCCCCCTACTGCCTCCTTCGCCCTGCTGCAGCCCCAGCACCTGGACAGCTTCCCCAGTGTCAGCACGCATCTGTTCCCCTCACACACCCATTTCCTCCACACACACAGATAGTCCCCAAGCCCTGGACCTCCAACCTCTGCCCCCCACAGACCTACCTGCATCCAGCTGCCGGGGCTGCTCGCACCACCCTGCCTGGCTGCATGCCGGCCATGTGCATAGTGCTTGAGAGAGTCCAGAGGAGAGCCACTCATATGATCCAAGGCCTGGAGGGAAGGCTGTACAGGAAGAGGCTGAGGGACTTGGGGCTCTTCAGTCTGGAGAAGAGAAGGCTCAGGGGGGACTTGGTGGCAGCCTACAACTTCATAAGAGGAATACATCAGGACCTGGGAGAACAGCTGTTCCCCAAGGGACAACAAGGTCTAATGGCCATAAACTCCAGGAAGGCTGATTTAGACTGGATGTAAGAAAAAAGTTCTTTACAGTGCGTGTGTCCAGGGCCTGGAACAAATTCCCCCAGAGATGGTGCAAGCACCTACTCTGGTCTTCAGAAAACAGCTGGATTTATTTCTTGCTGGGGTCACTTGACCCCAGATGACTTCCCGCCTATGGCAGGGGAGCTGGACCCAATAATCTCATGACATCTCTTCCAGCCCCTAATGCCTATGAAATCTATGAATATGCACCTTGCCTCCAGTTGCCCTCCGCCCACTCCCCCCAGTCCCAAGCAGCTCCTGGCTAGGGCTAGCCATGAAATGATGGGAGAAACTTCAATGATGAATGGATCAAAATCTCAGACATTTGTTGATATTTTAAAAAACTGCCTGGACTGAGATGGGAGGACCCAAAAAGAGGACATGTTTGGGGAAACCTGGATGTATGTTAACCCTGTGCAAACCTCTTTGCTGAACCACAAACCATGCGTGTTGCACATTAACCTGTGCGCAGTGTTGCTAATTTGCAGCACAGGGGATTTCCCGGTAGCAAACCCCTAAACCCCTGAAAAAAAAGCAGGGCAAAGCATTCCCAAATGGCGCGCGCCAGGATAAACATCTCCATGCACTGCGAAGCCCCTGTGCTGAGGCACCCTGCGCCCCAGCCAGCCGCTCCCCGACTAGCTGGAGCACAACGTCACATGGAGCACGAGCAGGGGTGTGCTCTGGGGGGCACAAATTTGTGCCGCTGCAAACATGGCCTCAGAACTAAGATATGGGGGGGGGAAGGGGAACAGTGATACACAAACTCAGCTGGAGACACAGAA